TATGGTGATAGCATCGGGGCTAATGCTAAAGCTAACAGGCTAAGCTGAGGTTCTTCTTCCATGAAGCAGCTCTGTTGTCCTTCATCCATATTTTCAGTTAAGATGAAGTCCTCATTTTTGACAAAGCAGAAACGATAGCAGGAATTACAATTTTAAACTTAAAATAAACTTATGTATTTTTATTTGCACATCTGTGTCTTTAGAGATTGTGGGAATTAACATAGTAAAAAATGATTTGCAGAACGAGCGAGAGTGTCTCGCATCGTGTCGTTAACATTGCAACAACTGAGGTGCTGTCAGTCACCAAGTAGTTTTTAACCATGTGATGTTTCATAGGGAGGTCTGGGTCACCTGCTGGTTCTGCTACGACTGTCAGGAGTCAGGAAAAGTCTGGGTAGTGGGTTGTTAATATTTTAATAGCAATTTGCAAATAATTTACAGCCCTAACCAAAAGGCTGACAGTAATCTTGTTGCATGTGAGTTAACACAACATGTAGCTTTTGATGAAACTCTCAGCTCAGATTTGATGTGGTAGTTGGTAGGAATAATTTCTAATACATACTCAGAGGGCTAACATATAGTTACTGAAAACTTTGGCCTTAATTGTTGGATWCAATCCTTTCCATCTTCATCTCATAAACCACTGGATAGATTTTCATTTATCTCCCAGGAAACCTGTCATTGGACGTACGTCTAACTGATTACCTTCTGTGGTAAATCTGATTGAAGATGGCTGCCACTGCTAATCAGCTTAAACCAATACAGGAAGTGGGAGTAGCTGAGTTATTCATACAACATGCACTGACCGCTAACGGTTATAACCATGACTTCTGTCATCATCATGAGATGATCTCATTTTAAAATCATGACATAGTGTGCATTTTGTATCAGGCTTTTAGCTATGATTTTGGAAATAAGTGTCWACACCCTAAGCTGGTGGACAAATGGAACTGCACCATAACTAAAACCCTGTTTTGCAATATTTATTACTTGGACATAAAACCTTTAATAAAAACCCACGGCACTGAATCTTGACTAATTTGTTGTAAAAAATGTATGTCTTTGCAAGTCTGTAACATACTAATCTGTATATCATGTTTATAGCACAGCTGTACAGTACCACCAGTACCACATATTCTGCCTTTGCTATTATGCACTGCATACATGTCAAACTGCATTTAATTGCCTTGTACTTGTACATGTGTAATGCCAATAAAGTTGAATGTAATCTAATGGAAAGACCTCCCAGGATGCCTCTGTGGCGTAGTGTTGGGCTCAAAATGGCCTCCACAGTGATGGTGAGGTGATGTGTTTCAGGTCACCTGACTCCTCTAGTTCACTGTTGCTTTGGTGAAGCTCAGAGCTGCGTTCAGGTGTTTCCAGGCTCTTTATGTTCTGTGTGGCTGCTGGCCGGGGAGAATAACGAGCTCTGGAGATGACAGCAGGTGCTGTTGCAGGGTTGTTGTGTATGTGTGTGTGTGTGTGTGTGTGGTCCTGTGCTGCAGCTGTCAGCAGTCATGTGATCATGCAGCGACCCTCACTGTTGTGACGTGACAAGAAAACTTTGACAGAAACAGATCAGTTTAGCAAGTGCACTCATTCCTGTATGTGGGACCAAATCATACAAGAGTGCTTTTACTGTTCTTGGTGGTGGGCCTTACTATCACCTTAGCTACCTAGGTGTAGCTTCACTGACTGCTAGGGGCAACAAGAAAGTAGGAGGGGGATGAGAATGGCAGCAGGTGAGAGGAAGTGTAGGGTAACGTTAGCCTGGCAGTTCTGCTCCGTCTGGGATTTCTCTCAGACAAGGATTYCTTCAGGAGAATTTCATCTGGGCCAATCAGAGAACAGAACATTAATTTTCTGCGCAGTGTCTGCTAGTTATTTTAGCATACGGCAGTGGAGGAAGTGAATGAAGCCAGTCCATGTTGATAAGACTTTTAAATTAAATATGTCTGACAAAGCAGCAGCTCTCATTCACAGCCGTCTCGTTCGGCTCGGTACTTCTTTCCTCTCAGTAGGGTTGTTTACAGCACACGTGATTTCCGGTTAGCTTCTTAGCTTAGCCTCCTTCACAGTGACATACGTCGCAGCCAACTGATCCAATCATTTTAAACTTCAGCAGAGGCCACGCCTCCTGCAAGAATCGCTTCTCTATAGCCGAGAGTCCAGACCCTCGTACGAAGCAAAGTGAAGGACAAGAGTTTGGTTTTTACCAGGCTAGGGTAACGGTAGCTGGGTCAACGTCTGCACAGAGCTAAAAGATAGGGCTGACACTGGTGGTGGAGGAGGATGATGGGTCAAAGTTTTTCTTGTGGAGCAAGAAGTTCATGAAGACAGCTTCTGTGACATCATCACACCAATCTAACATCTGCTGCTGTTGTTGATTTTTGTTTTGTTTTCTTACAGTAAATTCAACT